GCTTTTCCCCTTCCTGGAAAAGGCTGCCCCCCCCCCCCGCCCGGGTTTTCCGGCAATTTGGATGGGCAAATTTCTTCGCCCCAAAAGAGCGATTGACCCGCGCCCGAATTGGGGATGCTCTCGCTGAGGGCAGATCCGTTCCTTTGGCGGGTTACCACCCCAGCCCCCCCCCCCCCCCCAACCCTCCAGCTCAGACGTACACCTTGATCCCGCGCTCATTGCACGCCTCGCGCAGCTTCGCCGCGGCCGCCTCGCCGATGGCGCGGTTGCCTAGGAAAGGTCCAAGAAAGGTCGAGGAGAGGTCTTGGAAAGGCGCCTCTCGCTCATGGCGCGGTTGGACCGAGCAGGTTGAGGAAGCTCAGCGCCGGCGCGCCCTCGAGGGAGGCGGTGAGTGCGTTGGCGCCTGGCGGAGAGGGCGGGGCCACACACACACTGTCTCGGCCACAAGGAGGTGTAGGTCCGCCGTCACGGCGCTGGGCGCTGGGCGCTCCGGTGCCTTGGGGCGGTTATAGGGCCAGGGCGGTTAGGGCCAGGGGGCGGTTAGGGCTAGGGCGGCTAGGGCTAGGGCTAGGGGCTAGCTAGGCGAGAGAGTGGCCGCGGCGCCCTTGTCGGAGATAGCGTTTGCGCCGAGGTCGAGCGACTTTAGGCTGGTCGCGGCGCCGGAAGAGAGGACGGCCGCCACGGCCTCCGCCTCGGCGTCGCCCCAGCGCAGGTTGGTGTAGTCGAGCTTGGTCACCTGGGAGAGGAACAGAAGAAAGTGAGACGGCCAGGCTCTGAGAGACGAGATGGGAGCTAGGGACATGTAGCATGTGCATGTGCATGAGCATGTGCATGTGCATGTGCATGTGTCGGCAGGGAGAGGGGGCGGGGAGAGGGGGCGGGGAGAGGGGGCGGGGAGAGGGGGCGGGGAGAGAGGCGGGGGGGGGCGGGGGGCGGGGGGGCGGGGGGAGACGTGGGGATATGCATATGGGGAGAGGGATGGTGTGTAGTCGAGAGCATGGTCCCACCTGGGCCAGCCGCTCGCTGAAGCCCGCCGCGTAGAGCGCCTCCACGAGCGGCATGTCATCCCTGGGGTGCGAGAAAGACATGCCGCTGATCTTGGCGGCGAAGGAGGCCGGCGTGACGGGCGGCGTGCCTATTCTCTCCTCGAACCTCCCCATCACCCCCCGCGCCTGCCTCCCCAGATCTCCCACCTCCTCTCGGCCCAGGCGGCGTGCGCCTAGAGTGCTCAGCCCGGCGGCGAAAGAGTGACACGCGCCGTCGGCGCGTTCAAGGAGGGCGGCGTGACGCGCGGCCGCGCGTGTCGCGACGCAGCGCTGCACCAGCACCGACGCGCTCTCCGCCTCGCTCGCCGCCGCCGCCTGCGGGAGATATACGCGTCTCGGACATGTCCTGGACATGTCCTGGACATGTCCCGGACACGACGCGCCGCCCTCTCCCTCGCTCGGGGCGCGTGCGGCCGTGTGTGAGGTCCGCGAGGGCTGCCCGGCTGTGGCGCCCTAGATCTCGGCTAGAGAGCTCAGCCCGATCTCGGCTCGATCTCAGGCCCGATCTCGGCCCGATCTCGGCTAGCGATCTCGGCCCGATCTCGGCTGACTCGCAGCTCTGTCTCGGCTCTCTCTCCGTGCACCGTGAGGGCGAGGACTCGCTCCCCCCGCCGCTTGGCGAGCATGGCGAGCGAGACCTATCACTGTGACTCCTGGTTGTGTTCTGCTTTCCCCGCCGCTTGGCGAGCATGGCGAGCGAGACCTATCATTGTGACTCCGGGTTGTGGTTCTGCTAGCCCCGCCGCTTGGCGAGCATGGCGAGCGAGACCTATCATTGTGACTCCGGGTTGTGGTTCTGCTTTCCCCGCCGCTTGGCGAGCATGGCGAGAGCGAGCGCCTCGCAGTAGCACCTGGTGAGGGGGAGGGGGGCGGAAGGCACCTTAAAATGGGGGGGGGGCCCTGGGACGGGGAGCCCGGAAAATTTGTCAAGGCGAGGGCCCCCCCTCTAAGGTAGGAAAAAAAAGGGTCCCCCCTCATAATTAGACTCCAGGGGACTTTTCTCAAGCAAAG